TAGAAAGAGCCGCATTAACGCACTGAAATTGGCCACGTGGCAAAACATGACGATATCAAGACACCGAGCCCATCCCATCCCCCGCGCGTAATCTTCCCCAAGGAACCGAGCTCCACCGCCGAAGCATATTCCCGCCACTAGAATATCTCCATTACCAAATCACAAACCACCACGTCACCACCGCAAACATCGTCTCATCCCCCGCAGGGTCCTACGTGTCCTCCCACGTGTATCCCGAAGGCGCCAGAAGAATTCAACTCAATGCCAAAAATCCTAAACCGTTAAATTCTCAGGCGTCGTCGTCGTCTCCAGTACTTCCTCTTTTCTGTATCAGCTTCTCTCGAGTCTCCTCTGCAGAACGGATAGGGAGAGAAATTCTTTTAATTTCGGCAAAAAAAGAAAGCCCTAATTTTTGTCGGCATGGACGGCGCTAGCCAGCCTAGTACGTCGACTTCAAGCGCTTTCTCCTTCATATCGAAAGGCTGGAGAGAAGTTCGGGACTCGGCCGACGCGGATCTGCGACTCATGAAGGACCGAGCCAAGTCCTTCAAGAACCTTGCTGCCTCTTTCGACAGAGAACTCGAGAACCTAATAAATTCGGCGCCGACTTTTGCCGTTCCTGCGATTCGGTCGTCGTCGGAAATGGAGTTCATGAAGAAATTGCAGCCTAAAATATCGGAATTGCAACCGAAATTCTCGGAATTCCGGAAAGTGTATTCGGCGCCAGAGATAAGCAGGAAGGTGATGGAGAAGTGGCGGCCCAGGGCGAAGATAGGGATTGACCTGTCGGAGATTAGGAATGCGATAGTGGCGGAGGTGCAGGAGAGGGATACGGATGGCGATGGGATTGTTAGATTTGATAGGATTAGGAAAGGGAGGAGGATTTTCGCAGAGGATGAGCAGTTTGGGGATTGGAAGCCAATTCGAGCGTTGAAGACGAGGTTGAGGGAGTTTGATAGAAGGCGCTCGATTTCTTCTTCTGTGGAGATTTTTAGTGGGATTAGGTATAGCGAGTTTGTTGAGAAAGTGAAGTCCAGTTTGGTAAGTTTTCTCTCTCTCTCATTTTTACATCTTATATCAAAATGGGGTTTCAGTGGACTTGGGAGAATTATTCTCTCAGTGAAAGTTTTGATTGTTGCAGATCTCCTCCATTAAGTAATGAGAAATTGCTATGATTGTGACAATGCTTCATAATCAATCAAAATGCATTTTTTTCTTTTCTGCAATTGTTTGAAACAGGAGATAAAACCATTATTAATGGAGATGAAATAGCTGAAAGGGACCAAGGTATTTTATAAAGCTCCCAAAGCCCCTGCAAACGAATAAACTCTTGTAATTCTGGCTGTTAAACTGAACATCCTTTAATGTTTAGTAGTGTTTGGCTTCTTGGTTTATTAGATGCTTTATCTGCTTTTGGTACAATTAATACTTTCATAGTCAAATAGATAGTGTCTTATCTGATTGTGTTTCTCCTTCTAGAAGGCCTTTCCTGTTAGTAGTTAGTTACTTAAGTACTCCTCTGATTAGGAATTATGTCTGATTGTGATTTATGTTATCTTTTATACATGAAGGAATGTTCATAATGTTGAGACTTAAGAATCATGCTCATTATTTTGCTCTCCCTAACTATAGTATATGAGATTAGGGGCCAGAGTTTGGCCATGTTAATTAAATTTGGACATTTTTGACATATGGATCATTCTTGGTCAAACATTTGCTTCTATAAATATGTTTTCTATGGTACTTTAGTTGCCTTTTAGTTCTTTATTTGATAATTTTTTTGCGCTGTTCAAGCCAAATCATCATAATTTGTGAAGGCCAGACATCACGAACACTAGAACGAGTTATCTCCTAACCTGTTCCTGTGGTGCTCCTAAGGTATTTGAAGCTGTAATTCTTATTATCCTCAATAATTATTTTTTTTTTTCTTTTAAATTTCTTTTGCAGAAAGCTATCTGCAAGGAGCCTGAGGAGTCAAAGGTTTGTTTTAATCTATTGAGTTTCTCTTTCTTTTTATATGACATGAGACTCTGCACCTGTGCACCAATAAATATAAGAATAAAAGTGTTCAACTCTATTTCTTGGTCATATTTTTAATGCATTTCTGGCAAATATGGTTTACTTTTCATTTGTCAAAGGCTTCTTGATACATTAACTGCTCTTGTATTAGGTGCTGCTTTGCATTTTGCATGCTTATAGCTTATTAGATCTGCTTGTGGATTGTGCTGCTTTCCCATTGGGAGCCCAAGTGTTTGTTAGGTTGGTACTATTGCTGGCTTTTGGTAGATGGTGTATCAATACAAGTGAATTAATATTAAGTTTCCTTTGGAGATTGCCATGCCAAACATTTGATTCATATTCTGAGCATGATATTTTTGCATTTTCAGATATCTAAATGCCTCTTGTTAGGTCTATTGAGCTACTTGCAGTTTTACTTCAATCTTCAATGGGTAGAATTTGTATTCTTATGATTCATTAAGGGTACCTATACATATATTCTTCACTTGCATGAATTTCAAAATAATTACCTAGATGGAGGACCAGAACAGTGCAACAAGGCTCAGAATCTATGTGGAAAAGCCTCAAACCAAAGATATATAGTATTTT